CAAGAGGGTAATGTTCAAATTGCGGCCCTTTGCGAAACTCATCTAGACCATAGGTCATTAGTTACCTTTCCAAACCATGAAATCGTTTCGACCGACCGAAACCGTCAAGGTGGAGGAGTAGCAATTGTAGTAGCAAAGCACATCAAATTCCAACTATTACGTGACAATGATATTATAGATATTTGCCAAAACAACCAAGTTGAAATAATTGCAATCAAAGCACACCTGCCTAATAGCAAGTTCTTACATATTTTCTCTGTTTATAGCCCTCCTCGGTGGTCTCGCAATTACACCGATGTTAATTTCTGGACTTCGTTTCTCCAAATCTGCTCGAAGTATGAGCCATCCATAATTTGCGGTGACTTCAATGGGAAAAGCCCGTTGTGGAGCAACTCCCCCACGCATTATAACAATGAAGGGAAAAAACTCGAACAAGCAATTGTTAACTCAAGCTGGAATGTCTTAAATACCGGAGAACGTACGTGGACATCGTCTGATCTTTCGATACAGTCCACCCTGGATCTCACACTTGTCTCCCAGAGCTTAGCTCTTGACTGCAGGTGGTATGTGGACGACTTTAACCACGGTAGTGACCACTTTCCTGTTTACATCGCAATATGTGATAGGTTTGACGGCACTATACCGCCCGTTTATATCTGTCAAGAACGTAGATTGGGATCTCTTCCGTCGGGCTTGTGTGGATATTGCACAAACTCTTGCACCTGAAGTTGATAGGCCGGTCTCCGTTATAAGCGTAGAAGAAACATATGATCATCTTATCCGGTCAATTGTTGCTGCCCTCGAGAACTCCGGCGCTAAGGTCATCTCGTCAGCTAATCCCTCTCGGAAGCCCCCGACACCCTGGTGGGATGAGTCATGCTCCCAGGAAGTTAAAAGGAAAAGAGAGGCATTTACTTATTTCAAAAGGCATCCCTGCCTTCAGAACCTATCTGTGTATACTGAAATCTCAAAGGAGGTTACTCGCTTTCTCCGCAAAAAGAAAAAAGACGCGTTTAAGGCGTTTTGTGGTTCACTCCATGTTCATTCGGACATTGGTTCTGTATGGAACACAGTTAAAGCCTTTTCGCACTCCAGAAATTATTCACGCGGGGACAGCAATAAAAGCAACATTGACATCGAAGGTTTCCATAAATCATTCGATAAAATCGCTCCTCTCCAACCACCCAGTACAAATTTCCATTCAGACTTACCTTATAATATCCCTAGGTTGGAGAGTACAGTAGACAGTTCTGTTCTCGAGTCTCCCATTAGGGAGACGTGGAATACCTCTCGGCGGTCGAGTCTTTAAAGATCAAGTCCGCACCTGGTCCAGATATGATCTCCAATAATGTCATTTCACATTTCCCTAATGAACTTCATCTAATTGTCCACAAGCTATTTAACATAATGCTGGACAAACAAACGTTTCCTAAACAATGGAAAAATTATTTTGTCGTTTTTATCCCTAAACCGGGAAAGAAAGGATCTTATCGCCCCATCTCTCTCGCCAATAACCTACTTAAGCTGTTAGAAAAGATTATTCAACGTAGAATGGAATGGTGGATAGAGAATAACAAGATAATCCCTCCATTTCAATTCGGCTTTAGACGGAGTCTGTCGTGTATCGATAATCTTTCCATTTTTGTATCAAACATTAAAGCAGCAAATAATAACCGCCAGGTCACAGGCGCGGTTTTCCTGGACATCAAAGGCGCCTTTGATAATGTGATTCCTTCGGTGTTGCTTTCAATGCTTTCCCGGTTAGGGTTTCCCGAAAAGTTAATTAGTTTTATCTCATCGGTAATCTCGACCAGGAACCTAGACGGCTATATCTCTGGCATTCCCCTTCAAAGTCGACAGACAACAAGAGGAGTGCCCCAGGGCTCCGTCCTCAGGCCAATACTCTTCAATATTTATCTGTCGTTCGTGGAAATGTGTTTACCACTCCCGGTAAAAATCCTAATGTACGCCGACGATATCGTCATATATTGCTCTCACTCTTCAATCAAGTATGTAGCACACCTAACTTAATATTTCCCTTGGTAATCTCAACTCTCATCTCAAAGACCTAGGCCTAAAGTTATCTCCGGAAAAGTCCGTCGCGTCTTTCTATTCTCTCAACTCTTTGAGAAACACCAAGTGGATGATCAATAAAAACAACATTAAGATCACTCTAAATGGCTTCGGCATACAAATAGCTTGGTGTGTCAAGTTTTTAGGTGTGTATATAGACTACTCCCTACGGTGGAGGAGGCACATAACCGAGACCCGCAAACGCGTGCTCCCGCGTATTAACATACTTAAAGCCATTGCGGGGATAAAGTGGGGTGCCCACCCCAGAGTTCTCTTAGTGGCGTATAGAGGACTGGTACGCTCAGTCCTAGACTGGGGGTGCCAGGTTGTGTCACCTCTACAACAAAGAGATCGTCTAACACTCAGCAGACTTCAGTTCGCTTGCATTCGCGTAGCGGCTGGTTTGATGCGTACGACACCCACTAACGTCCTACTCGACTTAGTTAACGAACAACCTCTTTCGTGTAGACAAAGATACCTGACCAGCAAGTATGCTAATCGGGTAGCTTCACATTCGGGACATCAGTTGAATACGATGCTCGGTGGGTTCATACATCAGTGGAGCCCGATTTGCGAGGATAACAACTTTGGTTTATTTGATGTGTTCAAAGAAATCTCCCCCCTGGCACAGCAGGTTGAGTCCAGTGCGCTACCTGGTCTACTGTCCTTTCCGTTCTTCACACGATATTACAAATGTTCCGTTGACTTGGATATCGGACTAACGATCAGGTCCGCCCCCTCATCTCACCTTGAGTGGTCCAAGTTTCTCAACAAAGTCGGTGCTGAACACGTCTTTTATACAGATGGCTCTAAACTCCCATTCCGGTGCGACCGAGCTGCAGCGGTAGGGTATGCAGTCTATTCTGATCACCCTGAGCTTGCTCATTATGAAAGAATAAACAACCATTCTACTGTATTCGATGCTGAGGCGCAGGCCGCCCTCTGTGCTCTTGAGTACATCAGTGAATTCAGGTTCAATCTCTCATATATTGCTACAGATTCACTTAGTGTTCTTGACTGCCTGGCATCCTCGGATCCCAGAGGCACTCACTCCACTGTAATCTACAAGATAAAATCTCTAGTTTGCACGCTTGCTGACCAAGGTGTGCAGGTCCAGTTTGTCTGGATCCCGGCACATAAGGGCATCCTGGGTAATGAAAGGGCGGATCTGTACGCAAAAAAATCACTTGAACTACCCGACCCGGGGGTCTCCGCAAAGTGTCCGGCAGGATCTCTTGTCCCCGAACTTAGAGCTCGTTCCTTAACAGAGGCAAAAAACTATTTGCTGGAGGAAGCAAGACATAAGGGAGTAAGGTATTTTTCCCGGAAACAAATCGTACTCGACAGGCCTTGGTATGAGAGGTACAGGCGACCCCTACCCAGGCCCTTGGTGTCTCTTATATCACGCATCAGAACGTTTCATACCTGCGTTAATGCACATCTTGCAGATAAGTCCATAACTGAGAGCGCTTCATGTGACTGTGGTTTCCCAACACAAGACATCAATCATATATTCTTTAACTGCCCCTTACATAAAGATTCTTCTGACCTTTTAACTTTAGATCTCTTCCATAACGGTTTTAGCCCCCCATATGACGTGGCCAACATTGCCTTCTCTGATAACATCGGTGCTATGCATGCTCTGCTCCTATTTGTCACCCGCGAAAAGCTATCCATCTAATCTAATCCATTTAACTCCTTAATCCATGTACTCCCTTATTTTATCAGACTGTATCCCCACCTCATGACATTCACCCCCTCTTCATCCTTATAATATTCTACCAACGTGGTTTCCCCCACCTCTCAACATACATTGGAGATGCGCTCCTAACCATCAACAAACCGTCTCAGACATCAGAGCATCGCTCCTAACTAGATTCTATATGACACAGAATGGCGTATGGACTAGCTTAACAGGTCCACTGAGCCACAACAGCACCAAACCAAACCAACCTGTACCGTCGTGTTTCTCACCGCGAGACTTAAAGAAAAAAAGTGTGAGATTTTGAGTCTTGATATTTACATATAGAAGTGTTAAATTGTTGAATTATTTTGTATTTGATGGCTTTTTCACAACCAAACTCAAGAGGTAGGATTTTAACATAAAAAAGACAAATTGTTTAGATTAACTACTTGGCTTCAAATATTAAAAACTTTATGCTTATTTAATGCGGTTGTGTAAAAACAAAAGAATCTGGTAGAAAAAAGTGTCTGTCTGCCGCGCAAAGCAAGTTATTCAACATTAAGGTTCCTCAAAATTTCTGCGGCCATCTTGTAGTGATGACATCAGAAGTGAGGAAGAAAAACGCGAAAATTTCGTGCACTTTGTGTAGAAATAAAAGATTATTTCTAAAATTACATTATTGCATTTGTGATCAAATTTTACTCTTATCGCATTTTGTTATTTTTATAGAATTACAGAATAGAAAGATTTTAGAAGAGCTGCAGTTGAAAAAGCAGATGCTATTAAAACAAGGAGTCACACCAACTTTAAATTCATCATTAGGTTCATCAACTGGTTCTGCATCAAATGTAGTATGTTCCAAGTAATATATAATAAAACAGTTATATTTATATATGTTATTAATTTACATACTTTATGCGTGTATGTGTGTGTGTGTGTGTGGGTATGTATGTATGTATGTATGTATGTATGTGTATATATATATATATATATATAAAATATGTACTGTTTTTTTTCACACAGCCTACAACACAGCCTACTGATGGTGTAGCAATGAGTGCATCTCAAAGAGCAGCTTTGCATAATGCACATGCTGTCTCATATGGCTACTTTGTGACACAGGATTCTTCTTTTGGAAATTTAATATTACCAGTTCTTCCCAGATTTGATAGCAAGTGAGATTATTTGTGAAAATATGATTAATCATATATATATATGTATATATATATATATATATATATATGTATAAATAATATATATATGTATATACAGTCAAATCTCGATAACTCGAATCTCAAGGGAAGAGAAAAATCTTTGAGTTATAGAGGTTTTGATTTATCGAAGTGTTTTTTTCCTTTCCGCGGAGTGGAAGGAAATGAACAAAATTTTCGTATTATAGAGGTTTTCGAGTTATTATAAAGGTTCGAGTTATCGAGGTTTGACTATATATACATCAACAATATATATTTTATTACTAAAAACTATAAAGCATTAATAAAAATATAAAAAAATTAAGTTATAACTATTTATCAGATAGATTTCTGAAGTGAATATTGTTAATAATTTTTGATCACACATAAAGACAATGACTTGTCTTCGGCTTTGCAAGTTAGAAGAATATCTACAACAATTGGATGTGTTTAAAGAGCCAAAAGTTTTACTAGAACAATATGCTACTAGTGCACATATTGCCTCACATATGTTGTATACCGCACAGTCACAGTTCAATGATATAGAAGGTAAAAACATAGCAGATTTAGGCTCTGGATGTGGCATATTATCATTAGGTGCCAAAATGTTGGGTGCTGAGTATGTAATTGGATTTGAAATAGATACGGATGCAGTTAATATACAATATAAAAATTGTAATAATATAGAACTTTTTGTAGAAATAGTGCAATGTGATGTATTACAGTACTTGCCAGGTATTTACATAATTTTTGTTTTGTTATATATAGTTTTTGTTATTTATAAAAAATTAATGTAAAATGTTACATATTGCAGGAAAATTTGAAAAATTCTTTGATACTGTTGTGATGAATCCACCTTTTGGTACTAAGAACAATACTGGCATCGATGTAAGATTTTTGGAAGCGGCGATTAAACTTACGTCAAATGTAGTTTATTCTTTGCATAAGAGTAGCACGCGAGATTACATTCTTTCAAAGGCAGCGCAATTTGGTGCAAAAGGAACAGTAATAGCTAAACTCAGATACGATCTACCACGAGCTTACAAATTTCACAAAAAAGCCTCTGTTGATATTCAAGTGGATTTTATAAGATTCGAAGTAAACCGCTGACTTTTCAAAATGCGCTTTTTAAAATTTTACTCAAACTTAATGCCCTGAGCTAGCGGTAGTTCGTTTCCGTAATTGATTGTTATTGTCGCACGTCGCATATAATGCTTCCATGCGTCGCTTCCGCTTTCTCGGCCTCCACCTGTAGCCTTCTCCCCACCAAACGCACCACCTATTTCGGCACCGCTAGTGCCAATGTTAACGTTGATTATACCACAGTCTGATCCTTGAGGACCGATCCACTGGATAACAAACAGAATTTAATGAGTTTGTCTGAATGTATATTATATAAACATTTATCATTAATTATATACACACTGTTGTACACACACATGCACACAATTTTACCTCAAATATATTTTTGATGCTTTTAGTAAAAAGACTACTGCTCAATCCTTGCTCTACGCAGTTGTTAAGATTAATAGCTTCATCTAAATCGTTTACATCTAGGATGTAAACGATTGGAGCGAAAGTTTCTTGTTGCACTACCTCGGTTTCTATCGACAAACCCGAGATAATTGTTGGTTCAACGTAAAAACCGGGTCGTTCTATTTGTTTTCCACCAAACTCGATCGTGCCGCCGGCTGTTACAGCTTTCTGAATTGTCGTCTAAAATGAAAAATATTGATCTAATTAAAACTTCTTTCATTTAATAATAAAAAACACGATCTTTCAAATTTATAATATTATAGCTATTATTGCACATGTGCCTTGAATGCATTAACCGCTTTTTGATTATGCAATGGTCCATATAACACACCATCATCTAATGGATCTCCGATTTGTTCTAATATACTTTTATAAGCAATTTTTAACTTTTCTGCGCAAATAAAAAAGATTTAGTTACGTTTATACATCTTATAGTTTAGAGAGTAATATATGTAACATGTTTATATGTAATATATCATGTATATGTATATATACCTAAAAATTTGTCTTTTACTTTTTTATGCAATATTAATCTCCTGGTTGTAGTACATCTTTGTCCAGCTGTTCCAACGCATGAAAAAACTGCTGCTCTCACTGCCATTTCTAAATTGGCATCTTCTGCAACTGTCAACAAAGAAAAATAATCACATTGACTCTTTAGGACTTAGATAATGCACTTAAATTGTACAGATAATTAATGATTGTAATAAGATACATACGAATCAATGCGTTGTTACCACCAAGCTCCAATAAAGATTTCCCAAATCTTTGCTGAACTTTAAGAGCCACTTGTCTTCCTGTGTTTGTACTTCCAGTGAACGAAATAAGAGATACCCTAAGTAAATAAGTTATTATTTACTCAAGATACTATACGACAACAATAACATGCTACATTTAAATGCAAACTGACCGATTATCGTTCACTAAAGTCTCTCCAACATCTGGTCCACCTGTAATCAAAGACGCAACGGAACCCGGAATACCATTACTTTCTAAGACACCTGCGATTATTTTGGTGGTTGCGATAGCTACTAAAGGTGTGCTTAATGCTCCTTTCCAAACAATGGTGTTACCGCAAACCATAGCGATAGCGCTGTTCCAACCATATACCTAAAATTTAGATTAAAAATTGTAATACGAAATATGTAAAGAGATCGGATTTTCGAAAAATTTATATTTATATACCGCTATAGGAAAATTAAATGCGGAGATAACGCCGACCACACCTAAAGGGTTCCATTTCTCCATAAGTATGTGATTTTCTCTCTCTGATGGAAACAGACGGCCGCTAAACATTCGCGATAGTCCGACCGCATAATCGCATATATCAATGAATTCTTGAACTTCGCCTATAGCTTCCGGTAAAATCTTTCCTGCATATATTTTATATTTATAGAAATTTTGTTTATGTATAAAAAATATTCTGTAGAAAGATTGAAAAAAGATATAGTATGTTGTGACAAATAAAGTCTTTTACGTATCATATACTAATAAGGTACCCATTTCTAAAGATATTAAATGCCCTAGCGGTTTCAAATTTCTTCGGAGTTCATTTCCTATTTGTCGTACAATATTTCCTCTTACTGGTGCTGGAATAGATGCCCATTGCGACCATGCTTCGTGTGTTTTTTTTATAACTTCACTGGCTTCTTGCGATGTGGATTCGCATACTTTCGCTATTACTTTTCCAGTAGCTGGTGATATTGATTCTATCCACTATATATTTGATATATGTTAAGGCTCCTATATATTTCACGATCATTTTTTATTTGATGACGTCAGAAACGAAAGAGGAAATTGCTAAAGTTTTACAAACTTTTAAAATAAAGATTTCTTCTTGTACAAACTAAAAATTAAAATTAACTAAAAACTAAAAGTTTTTTTATTTAAAAAAAATTATTTTTTTACAAACGTACATAAAATCAACAGAGTATAACATATGTAAAATATACTGGATGTTTTTTTGTTTTTCAACACAAAACATCAACAAAATCGAATCAAAAAATATATAAAGCTTTTGCATCGTGTCATATATTGATGGTGTAAGTTGATTGTGTTAAATAAAAAAACTTATATTTTTTGGTTTGTGTTAAATAAGAAATCGCAATTAAATTTTACAAATGAATTCTATTGATTCCATGTGCGTTTATATAGAAATATTTTTTTTATTTTCATAAAAAATGAAAGAAACTTTGATTTTCTTCGTTTCTAATGTCATAAATCATTTATCTCTTGCTCAAGCTCCGTATTATTATCTAATATTCTAATATTTTATTGTTGGTTTTTTTGGTTTGCAATTATTTCTTTAACGCTTCTTTCAGTCTTTCACATAAAAATATTTTACTACCGATAAGATAAGACTTATCGGTATTAAACCGACAGTATTCTATACCTTGCCAGATCCACTCCAATTTCCATCGTAAAGTCCAGGATTCTCAAAAGTAATACCTAATTGTTTTAAAAACCCATATTTAGGGTCAGTCACTAAATGTCTCCTTATATGAAACCAAGAAAAATAACAAGCACATTTCTTTGACAGTAGATGTGACATTGTCATTTATTTATTGATGACTAAACGAGTAGCAAGCGTTCCGATGAATAAATTGCTTGGTTTATCAGGGCTGACACTCAGAGAGAAAAAAAGAGAGAGATATGATAAGACAACACAGATAATTATGGTTGATCATACAATACTAACGCTCTATATATGTATAATAGACCACTTGTGATCTCAAATAAATTTCAATGCTTTTTTGGCGTTTCAATTTTTAATAATTTTTATTAAAAATTATTAAAAATATTAATGCATCAGAATTGTATATACTTTCGTAAAGAGAAATTATGACTATTTAAAAAAAATATGTAGAAACAGGTCGCTATATGAAAAAGCGCGTTTTATTCAATAATATAATATTTATAATATCACAAAATGAAACGGCAGTGGCATACATATGATAAATGTTTACAAAAATTTGTCTTTTTTTATAATAAATGTATCATATCTAGGAGAAGGAAAGATTTGATAGAAACATTATAAGTTCATTTAAATGCCACTATATAAAAAAGTCTTAAGAAATAATATATATTATTAAGAAATAATGTCATTACACATAAATGACATTATATATTGTTCTCTGAAATCAGAATCCATATTTTACCTCGGTCTGTACAGCTGATAACATCTTAAATCTGAAATAAGCTGAAGAACTGACCTCGTCAGAGTTGGTTGATCCTAGAATAAATTATTATAAATATAAAATACATAAACACCTATCGATTTCTTTGAATTATATATTTACTGAAGCGCTTAAAATTTAACATACCGTAGATTTATCGAAGTTACCCAATAAAGTGGCTCTCTGCATATCGTCCACGCCTTCGCAAGTTGTCAAAAATGTTGGCAAAAAATGGCCGAAAAACCATCCTATATTGACAGATGCCAGACTATGTATAGCCACGGCTATGTCATCTGCTAACAAATTGTGAGACCTGTACAAATTAACCATGAGTTAGGTTAGGTTTATTTACTACATTTAGTTGTAAATAAATTATTAATATAAGTATTATTATAATTACAAGTGCATAATAAATAAAAATTGTAAATGACACCCACTGTTGAAACAAAACTGTGAATAATGCCATCAAAAATCTTTCGAGAAGATGAACTTTGAATACAACTCGTTGATAAAGTCGCCATCTTATATTTAATTGTTCGAGGCTCTGCAAACTTTGACGAAATATATTGACATCCGACTGAAGTAGAGCTTGACCAAACGCCTCTAAAATTGCTACTAATTCCTCTTTATGCTCAACAGGTTCATCTTCATCAGGATATCCAAGAGTCCGCAACACCGAAGTATTATAGAAATACTGCCATCGATGCATAAGAATACTAAAAAACAATTTTTATGAAGAACATAGTATTCTAAAAAAACGTGTATACGCCGAATATATATTACCTATGAAAAAGTTTCAGTAAAACTAATGTTGTGTCCGGATGTTCACTTAAGTTATTTCCAACAGCAGGCCATACTTGACCTAAACACAGGCTTGTTACGGAAGGAACAAACGCTTTAAATGCATTGCTGGGTGCTGATACAACAAGTATTAAAATTTCTAACAACTGAACCAACGCAGGGCCAGCAGAGATATTTTCTCTGTGAATAAAACAATTGACACTGTACAATTTATCTAAGTATTGCCAAGACAGTAAAACAAACTACTTTTTCCACTTAGAGATATTTCTGCTTCTATATTTTAATGTATTGTACAAACCTAGTATAAAGTTGCAACATGCCTTGAACTGCATTTTGCATAAATTCAGGTCCTAATTGTTGTTGTAGCACTGAAAATGCTGAATGTAAAAAGCTAAGTAACACTTCACATATGTTCTGACATCTTATCACATAGGACAATAATTCTAATGTTCTGTTTATGATCGATTCTAGACATGAGTGCAGCATTTTTTTTATAATTGTAGACGAAGATGCGCAATCCTCCACTAGCTGAATCAGTGGCATTATTGTAATTGAAATTGTCGATTCTGAAGGCACTGATTGTCCTGGCATACCCAACGGCGAAGATAAAGCCATAATTATAATACCTATAAATAAAAATGTTTCCACTTTATATATATATGTGTATATATATATATATATATACACATATATATATATATATATATATGCATTTTGTTTGTTAACATCAATTTTACAAGATAAATTTAAGTTTTACATGACAATTTACCCAATAATTTTTGTCTTGTTGCTGCATCACCAGGTGGCAGTATTATTGCGTTTATCAGCGCTCTTCGTAGAACTTGAATTGTATCCAGTTTTAAATATGGATATGTACCCATAGAAATTAAATTCCTAAATGTTGGTTGGTCCCATAAAATGGGTTTTAAAACGGCGGTGATACTTTGAAAAAGATGAACGGCGGAATGGATAAGATTTGAAACAGCTGGACAATCACAGGACGTAATATAATACGTCGTTGCCCATATACATGAGTCGATGCAACGCTGACAAAACGTCTCTTTAGTTTTCTCTGGTCTTCTAGCTATCCAATGACACCACGCTTGAAGAGACGCCAAAAGCTGTGAATGTCTAATAGCGCAAATAATTACGTATCAAGTATCTACGTTATTATTGTGTATTTATGACTGTTTTTTACACACTTTAAAATATCTCCAAAGCAGCAAAACACTTACACTTCGATAAGATCTATCAAAATTGCAGCTGTTCGGAATTTTGCTTTATACAGTTGATTATTTCTCGCGAATATACATGCGTCTAAAGTTTGCGATACGACTTCTTCGGCTAGAGCTTGGTCAATATTTGTTTGATCTCCTGTTAATACAAATAACTATATTATCGGCTATTCATAACTAGCCACTCCGACAACTTACCAATAAAAAGAGAATATAGCCTGGTTAAAGCTTGTGTGATCGACGCAAAATCTCTCAAATGAGCGTGGACATTTGTCGCGTCTGTATCATTCAATATAATTATTTGACCATTGTTTCTAGCGACGACAGCACCAAATTCTCCAAAAATATTCAATTCTTCTCTCCACGATCGATACTAAGAGAAAATTTAATATTATTATCTTTAATAACAGATAAGACTATATACATATAATATATTCAGACAGCACAAGATATCCTCAGAAATATTTTGAATATGTCTAGAACGGCTCAGAACATTTATAGGACATTATAAAATATCATTACAAATATATTTTATGAAAATTTACAGTGCATACATAATTCTTTACAATTATATAGAATATTTAATGTAATTTAGCATTTTTAAGTATTATAAAAAAATATACATGTCCACTAGATGTCTAGAAGATGTCTACTTTGTTTATTATATTGGATGTTGATTGTTCAAAGGACATCTACATATTTTTCTGGGGATTGATAATATAGTTAAAAAATATACTATTATCTTTTTCAAAACCAAACTTTCTCACGTACATTCAAAATACATTCAAAATACATTATAAAAGATATTCAGAGAACATTCTATTGTTCTCTGGATGTCCTCTGGACGTTTTTTAAACATGCTATACTATCTCGAACGAGATCTATTAAACTTTATTATATTTATTTGACAGATGTTATACCATCCTTTTAAAGTATTTTTATTGCTTTACTGTATAAGAATTTTACCATACTTGTACATTACTGGCACAAAATTACTGATGATATTTATGCCGAAGGCAACTAGTAATATTTTTCTGTAAGAGATGTCGTTCATATTCTAGACAGAGTATTATATTTTTTCATTTACTCCTTTAAATATCGTTGAAATTTCAAATTTAGAGGTAGATTTTACTTATGTTTTTAAAATATAAAATACTTTAGTAATTCAGTCCAATAAATCTCGCAGTCTGGATGCACGAGCTGCGAACGACATCTCAAGTTCGAATTCATTCAACATCTTAGGATTTTTTCCGGGACGGTCCCTTTCAATTGAATATATCGGCTGAAAGGCGAACAGTATCGTGCCTCCAAAAAGAAATAAGAATGAAAAATACTCCTTACAAAAATGTCGAGTGATATTACCATTGCCAATATACTAGTATTTTAGTAAGAAAATTTTATTATTATTTTTTTGTACGAATTCTAAACAATAACCAAACTTTGTTTCAAAAAATATTAATATAAAAATATGCTTTTTATAGTTATATCCTATAAAAGTTCTTGAGATATCCTACACATATCCTGTAAAAATTCTTAGAACGTCCCACATAATATCTTAAGGATAATTCAAGGACTAAAAAGGACGCTCCATTTGCTTTTTCTTAGGACATCCAGAGGAGATCCAAGGATTAAAATAGAACGTCCACAGAATATCTGTTTTGTCCATATGTTCTTTGGATTTTTAGAGGACGTTCATGTGCTATCTGGATATGTACAGAATGTCAAAAAATTTTAAGTGTAGAGATAGATTGAGTGAATCTGAATAGGAGTCATTTGCCATTTTACGAAATTTGCAATTTTTATTAATTAATTAATAAATGTAATCTAATGAGCGCATGGGAAGCGATTCAATTTTATTACTATAAAAACCAGCTGACTGCAAAAAGCTGTTATATGTCACTCGTTTGCTCCGTTTTTTCATTGTAGGAGATTGCACGAAGTAAGCTACTTTTTTTACAACTAAAAATCATATATGTCTACAGAATCCAAATCATTGCTTTCTATGCGCTCACATTAATTAATATCTCAATAAATATTGCACATTTTGCAAAATGGTAAATGACTTATCTTGTTCAGATTGATTATCTCAAAGTTCCTTCATCAATCTATCTTCACACTTCAAAATGTCAAAATTTTTCAAACACCTTGATATAACATTTGCTGCTAATCTGCAGATATTACATATAATTGCTAACATAATCTATCGACATAATGTTTGTTGAAATATATAATGTCAATTAAAGTATTACCAATAACGTAAATACTGGAACAGGTGAAATGTCAGCAATTTTTGCCAAACATTCTACATTACACCGTAGAAAATGCTGCCATTCTGTCTCCTCCTAAAAAGAAAAAATAACATTTAATACAGATATATTTATAGTCTAATACATCTAATACAGATATATCTATTCATTTAAATTATTTACAAAAATTTATAAAATAAAAATTTATAAATGTATGATTTGTGCGTGTTTATATATACACACGCACTTACATTCTCATCTAAACTTTCCGTATCGAGTTCCATCAATATGCGACTATTGATTTTAAAGCTAAGTTTTTGCAAGATTCGTTCCGCGAGAGCTAATGCAACAGCAGAATATCGCGACTGAGTGCTTTCTAAGAGAGTAGTCCAAATATCTAAACAACGCAAATAAGCGTTTACTGTGGAAGCTTGCTGGAATGTGTGATGGCATAGTACTTCCAATAATGTATTTACTGAAAATGTAGAGCTTGATTCCATTCTTTTCAGATGATTTGTTATAAATAACTGTAAAAACTCGGTCATTTTCTCCATATAGCTAAAATATTTTATTGCACTGGTTAAAAATGTTAACTAGAATCTTTATAAATATGCATTTAGTTACATACCTCTCCTCTACTGAATCTAAACGTTCTATCAGTTGAAATAAGCCAACACCGTTTTGAAATATTTCCAGTAATAATGTGTCAGTGGCATCAGGTAAGCAGAGTGGTCTGTATAAAAGTTCATTTATCGTAGTTAAAGCTTGAACAGCCATTTCTATTTGTTTTCCGTTCTGTTGAAACAAATCAATTATTTAATTTCTTGCTATACCCGAAATATCTTGTACTGTAAAACTAAAGACTTACCATTGCATCATGATATTTTGCACATGAAAAAATAGCATCTAGCAAATTCATAGATATATTGCCTGATAAATCTATCCAACTGAACAAGTGTGCCAAGACTTCCAAAGTAGCTATGCAAACTTCAGTAGTGCCTGTTGCTAATCCTTCAACATCTAGTACTGCACGTGCAGGTGCAATATTTTGTCCAGAGGTAGGAGATGGAGGTGGTGTTATAGTTCCGGAACGACTTTGTAATTTTGTTGTCTCTTTCAGAAGAACTGATAGTACAAAGATTATAAATTACTTATATTTTATATTGTGTAAATTTTCAATTTCAGTAATATAAACAAGTTCAATAAAGATACCTGTAAGAGCATCCAAAGTCAGAGGCACTTGTGTGCTTAACAGCCTGAATAACTCAGTTTTTCTATGCAATGACAGATCTTCTCTTGGTGTGGCTAATTCTTCTGATGCTGTTCTTAGATATACAAGTCCTAATAGTCTTGTATGTTTATGACCTAATAACTGTGTATGTGTGTGTGTGTGTGTTAGGTAGGGAGAATATATTACATATAAATATATTTAGTATATAATAAAAATATGCAACAAATATACATTATATATATATATGTATATGAATATATATATATATATACACACACACATATATATATATACACACACATTTATACAGACATATGCACATTACAAAAGAATATCTGTTTGCAAACCTGCAAGATATTGGAATAAAAATCTGGATAAAAATGTGGCCAGTCATGTCTTGCTATGTCAACTACTAATTTTACTACTTTATTTCTCACAAAAGGTACTACATCTCTTTCTAGTGATAACGTATATAAAGTGGATCTTATAAGAGCTTTGTCTTCCCATGGCAAAATAGGCCATCTTCTTCCAATAGTTGTCTGTGAAATATAAATTTAAACTAAAGATCATTAAAATTCAGTAAATCAGTACACATATTAAGAAATTGAATTACCTCTAGAGTGGACAATGCAAACATACTGACATAATGATTATTTGTAGAGGATAAAAAATGTAGACATGGTTTCCAGGAATCGATCTGTGCAGAAAATTCTTGAAAACTGCGTTCAATCGTGCGTTTTCGTTCATTGGTCGTCTCCGGAGAAAAAAATTCCGTCATAAGTTGTTCCAGATTTTGCAAAGCAACTACATCGTCGTCCTAAACAGTTTTTTTTATTTTGCAAGTTTATATTTTTATACATGCATACGAACAATAAATATCAATTCGCAAACTCTCGAGTGTACAACAAAAATTAATTGCGTTTTATATAGCCAGAAAATTTATTTCTTTACCATAATGACTTTTAAAAGGAGTATTATAGCGTTGTAAATGCAATGTAAATGTATAAAAAGAAAGAGGAGGTTAGATTTTCACTTGTCAGACGTCATTTTGAGGCAACTATGTAGACTCTGCACAGTATCTACATATATGTATATGTACTGCTATATAAAAACTGTGCTGCTACACTTAGTCGCTTCGATTGCTCCGAATTGCTCCGAATTGCTCCGAATGATTCTGACAAACCTCTTCTATAACTTGTAACTGTAACTTTATATATAACGCATGCGTTTACATACAAATCCATACATATGTATATACATAAGTACATAGCTAGAGAAGTGGAGAATGAATGGAAGGAGTCTCCAAGCAATGTTAAAATAATCAAAATCATGATATAAGTATACTGTGTCAAAATGGTTGTGTGTTCAGCATAAATTTTACTGCTAAACGTAGCATGATTTTTTATGCGTTATTATAATCTCTTTTTCTCTCGAGAACAAAAATATCATTGTGTATTGTACGCACTAGACAATTAACAAAGTAAATTACAGGAAACAAGAAATAGTAAGGAAAACTAGGAAGAAAAAAGAAATATAAAGGAAGAAAATAGTGAGAGAAAACAGCATTGTTTGTACATACATGCTCGTGTGCAAATTGTGTACATACACTCTGTGATAGCCACTTTTGGAGGCTCGAAACTACAAAAGAAAACGATTTGAAAAGAATGTTTGGCACAAACAACCGATATTTGCAGCATAAAATGTCATATTCGATTTCAATTTTTAAAAATTAACTTTATATAAAGTTTAGCCATAATTTATCAAGTATAACATAAACTTATCTAAAAACGCACAAGACGCGAAAAAAGAAGTTTCAAGCATATAACTTTAGAGAATTAATACCGATATGCATGTATTTATTGAATTAATTATAAACAGCACTTTACTATGGATATTTCTACAAACAACATTAAATGTGTTAGTTACCATTCTGTACGAGCATTGCATTCCTTGGATTGTTTGGGGGTCATTAATTGTCATAATAGCATTGAAATTAGTACGAATATCGCCTCCACCTGCTAACACTGTGCAGGAAGTGCTTGGTGTAAATCCTCTCTTCTTAGGAAAAGATAATTCTATACCTGAAAATCGTGGTAATGGAGAACAGTACTGCATGAGAGTAGTAGCTCATCGTGGTGGAGGATATGATTATCCTGAGAACAGTTTGTTGGCTATTCGAAATGTAAAATAATATATTTCTATAATATATTTCTATTTAGTTTTCTTTATGTATTTAGTCATTAAAGATATTTCCAAATTTATAAGTATTCTTAATTTTTGTGGTAGATTTTATAGATTATGTGTGTAATTATCTTTGTCTACTCTCTTATTTAACATTATTGTTGCTTAATAAAAAACATATTTATAGCAGAGAAACTATCAATTTTTTAATCTTATTTTATATAAGTATAGTGTTTTTTTGTTGTATTCTTTAATTGTATATTTTCTTCAATCATGTAATATATATGTATATATCTTTTCACATAGAGCAAAGGAAAAGGCTGTACTGCTGTAGAACTGGATTTAAGGCTAACAAAAGATAACATTCCAATAATATTTCATGATTCAACAATTGAGAGACTTACAGGTCAAATAGGAACAATTAATGAGATGACATGGGAAGAATTAAAGAAGTTTGATATATCTTATAATCATCCACTTAGGTATGATTATGTATATTGTGATTCACTTCACCCAAAATGTATATCTTTCTATATAAAACAAACTGTATAATACATTGATATTTTTGTATTATATTATCATAATTTTTATTACATTATCATATATTTCTTTAATAAAACAACTGTTGTACCAAAAGGAACAAATTCTCTAATAGTGAGAGTATTGCGCTCTTTCATGATGCATTACAAGAATGCCTGAACAATGAACAAAGAGTAATCATAGATATAAAAGAAACAAGGATAGATGTTGTACAAGTTGTTCTCGATGCATATGAGAAATATCCAAAATTGTTTCAAAGATGCATTGTGTCAAGTTTTAATCCAATTATAGTATATATGGTATATATGTATTATATATTAACTATACATGTACACAGAATTTGAATATAGATAAAAGTTTTGGAATATTTCTAAATAGTACTTGGTATTTTATGTTTAGATTAGAAAGAAAGAGCCACGTATTGTTTCAAGTCTTGCTTGGAGACCATATTTTTTCTCAAAAACATATTATGCAGGCCTGGAAGGAATGAGCCCTGTACAATTTCACAATCCTTTTAAACATTTGGCAGCTCATATCTTGGAAATTTTGTATGAGTGGCTTCTTCCACGTTTTGTTTACCATATTGTAGGTATTTCTGCCATATTGTTGCACAAGGACACAATAAATCCGTATGTATCTAACTTTATATCAGTATTCAATTTTGTCTAGATATGTATGTTTAATAGTACAAAAACAATACACACACGCGTGCACACACACACACACACACACAAATATATATACTATATATACTATACATATACTATATATATATATATATATATAAACTATATCATATTTTAGACGTGTAATAGAACAATGGTGCGACCGCAATGTACGTGTAATGGCATGGACAGTAAATCGACCATCCGAGAAAATACACTTTTCAAAGCTTCTCAAAGTCACGTATCTAACTGATACGCTACATCTAGAGAAGGATATGTAATATAATATCCTATGTAATATAATATCTAGATGTTTTTCTTCAGTATTACACTTCACAAAGACTTATATACTGGCATTATATATATATATATATATACAGGGTGTCCCGTAATTGCAGTCTCACCGCTTGTAGGCAGGTAGAAGAGGTTATTCTAAGACGAAAAGTCCTATACCACTTTGGAAGATTAGCAATAATTAACGAGATATTAATTAATAAAGATCCGCTAATTAGCGTGCATCCAGCGTAAGGACAGCTCAGTCTGTCGCGCCGTAGCGACGAAATACAATAGCTCGAACGCAGCGCGCTATCGCTATATGCTGTCTATGTATGCACATGTTATTCTATTAACTCCTCCCATTCCGTCGCTACGGTGCGATAGACTGGGCTGTCCTTATGCTGGATGCACGCTGATTAGCGTATCTTTATTAATTAATATCTCGTTAATTATTGCGAATCTTGCAAAGTGGTATAGAACTTTTCGTCTTAGAATAACCCCTTCTATCTACCTACAAGCGGTTAGACGGCAATTATGGGACACCATGTATATATATGTATATGTATATGTACACACACACACACACGTACAAAAATTTTTTACTCTCGAATTATGTCACAATATCATTTGTCTAGTCTGGTCATAAAAATGACTTATACTATTTTTAACGTAGAAGATAAGACATTTATATTACAATCAGAGATAAAAATTTATTATTTTTCCGATTACAGTGATTATATATAAAATTTTTATTTTATCACAATTAGAATGTTATTCGTGTCACAAATATATAGCGCACATATAGTGAAATTAATTAGTAAAAAAATGTTTATAAATGGACGGAGTTTTAATAACTTCTCGCGTTGTAGAATTTACTGTAATTTTCTAATTATTCTAAGTAGGTGCGTGTGTGTGTGTGTGCTTGCGTGCGTGTGCGTGTGTGTGGCGCGCGCGCGCGCGTATTATAAAATCTTAAATGCGTATTATAAAACTTATTCATTTAAATAATATACACACATACACGTTTTTGTTATTATATATTTAAAAAAATTTCTGAAATCTTTTTTTTCTTCTTGATTGCACAGATATATATAATATAGATGCATGTACGAAGTTTTAAAACAACTGATTTGTTCTTTCTTAAATATAATAGCTAAGCTCATTTTGTAACACTAAATATGGTTATGGCGCGCATTATTGTCTTTTATAATTAACTTATAAATTAATTGTTTTCTTTGGATAAAAACAACAACGCAAAGTTTAGTCGATCAATGTGAGCTTACGCTGGATGTTCGTGCAAAAAAAAATATATATATAGTATAAATTTATTATCATTCACGCCGTTTGGAAGATGGCAAAAAAAACTTCTGGCCGAGATTTTTTGCAATATTTCAAAAATAGATAGGGGGGTATACGGGCATTTATCATATACGAGATACAAATATAGCATCCTATATGAACTTACGAATTGAAATTTCAATTCAAAATTCACGTGTAAAATTCACACAAAGAAATTAAATAACTATATATATGTATATAGTTTGCGCGCCATCGAAGCGTAGGCTCTTATTGACCAATTAAACTTTGCGTTGTTGATTTTAAAATCTCAAGAGCCTCAACTCTTCGTTCTTTGGATAAAGCATAAAATGTTATGAAATAGTGTTTCTACACACACACACACACACACGCGCGCGCGCGCACACCCACACCCACACACGCACGCACGCACGCACGCACGCACGCACGCACACTTCAATATTAATAGTTAAAACATCAAAAAGTCATTATATATATTTTTAAGCGTATTATTATATTATAAATTATTAGTATAAAATTATAAACACAAAAAAAGAAATATACTTTTTACTGAAAAACTTCAAAGGAACAAAGCAAAGTTTTATTTGTAAACGCAATGAAAATTCTCATTAGTGTTTTCTTATGTAAAAATTTCTTATATCTAAATGTGTAATTAGCGATTTTCAAACAATAGTAGTAAGTTTACTTTTACGAGATTCCATACCTTCGATAAGATCAGATAATAAATCTTCCATTTCTGTGGCAGCACGTTTCAATTTACAATTGTCATTGCCATCATAGGATTCTGCAAAAAGTGCATCATACTAAAATAAAAAATAATGCAATGTGTTAAACTTTTGTTTTTTTCTATTATTTAGATAAAAAAAAAGTTACCGTCAAGTAAACAATCATTGGCAACCATATTTTGCAATCTGTCTAATATATCATTAAGATCGCCTTGAATATTTTGCAAGCTACTATGCTGAGAGTGTTTATCAGGACGTTGCAAAGAAGATGGAGTATTATCTCTGTGAATGCCAGGAGACTGAGAAACTACTAATGATGAGTCATTATCTATATTATGAACTGCTACATTAACTGTATAATTATTTTCTTTGCAATTTGAATTGCCAGCGACTAGCCATTGAGAGAAGTCATTTTGAACTGGATTTAATTCTCGCCTCTTTGTTCCTAACAATATTTGAGATTGTCTATATTTTTTTGTATTAGGTTTTTATCAATAAACATGTTTTTAATCATATCACTATATTTTACACATTCTCACCTCCAATCCAAGTACTTAATTCTATACGATTGCTTTCTAAATTATCGAATTTAGAACTTGTAGAAGGCTCTTCGATGCAAGGAAAAATACTGGCATTATTTTCTTTCATAAATATAGGCTGTATAGATAATGATGTATCAAGACTATCTGGAGTTAATTTATTTTTTCTGTGATATAATTGACTTCTTTCATCTGTATTATCTTGTCTGATAATCGGACTTAATTCAAATTCCAAAGGCGTGAATCTAGATGATACGAGTGGTAACATCGGAGTGCTTTGCATACGAGAAATAATCGGTGACATGTGAGTACTATCGGCAAATAAATATTTCTGTAAAAATTTACAAATACAAAATCAGTATATTACGTACACTCATATTACCGTTTTTTTAATTAGTTCATACTTTAAGTGTTTTTAATCGTTGCAACTGAGATTCGATAGTCGCTCTGTGACGCTGAAGCCTTTCCGCTTTGATTCCCTGTATATCTAACAACTCGATTTGCAGTTGTCGATTTTCTTCTTCTAAATGCATTATGATGCTCTGTAATTCCTTCTGCGGATCACTGAGAATTTTTCGTTTAATCGTGCTTCTTACTGAACTGTGATCTACATATCTTATGCTACTATTATAAACAAAAAAATCAGTGTTGGTCACGTAACGTATTACAGGATATTATATTGTATAATTGCAAATCTTTGTAACAAACCTAACAGTATCAGTATCTTCTACAGCAACTGTTCTGACAGAACATAATTTCAGTTTATTCCTGATCAATTCAATGATCAATTTTGTAATTTCGCGATGTGAAGTCTGCAAAACAATTACCTCTAAATAAACTTATTTCACATAACAATAGAAAATCTTAGCAATATACCTTTGTGCAAAATTCACGAATTGGATGCTTTAACTTGTGCTTGTTTGATATTTTGCCAAAGAGAAAACATTCTTGACATTGATGATATCCTGTACACTTCAAACATGTATATCTTGGTCCTTGTACTGGCGATACTTTACATGAAGAACATTTGATGTTATGTATAACTGCAAATAAACATTGCTAAAAATAAACTCATTGCCTTGAATATATAGCAATAATTGATTGATTTTGTTACTTACTATGTTCTGCAGTTTTTAGTCGATTAAATGTTGTTATCCAAACCAGCAGAGGAGGTTCCTGCATGATCCACATGGCAAACTCTGCTTCTGTAACCCCTATACCACCTTGAGACTAAAATAAATTGAAAAATAAAACTATGATATTACTTTTAATTAATTAAGTACTAAACAAATTCTTTATTTTGTTACCTTTTTAAAACAAGCTTCTATGTGTGACTGAATCTGTTCGTATCCATAAGCTGTACTTTCACCAAGCATTTCTGTTATTTTGCAAATATTTGTTAATAACGTGTGTAAACCAGCTCGAGATATGCATGCATTATGATCTGCTAACTGTTGATATAAATATCCATATTTTTCTTGCAATCTACCATTACTTAATAATATCAATGCAACTTTTACTGAAAATACTAAAATATTCCTAGTATTTTGTCTGCAATGTTAAATATGCACATATATTTTAATATATATTAGATATACATAATAAAATATATATATTAAATACATAGTTTTTCTTAGTAAATATGCAACAAAATATTTCAAATATATAAAAATTATAATTAAAATTGAGAGAAGGCTTACTTGTCAAAAGTATTTAGAATATAAGTTGTAGCAAGTTTCGTCATAAGTTCAACATCAAAATTGATATTATTTTCTTTCTGAGTAGCAAAATAAATATCAGATACTACATCTTCAATCTCACTTGGGTCTAAATTAACACAATTTTCAGTGATGGAAAGTCTATGACGTTCAAATACTCCTGCTATTAATTCTAATTGTACACGTTGCACTGAGTAAAATAAAATTTAAAAGTTTAGAAATATTTCAATCTTGTTTAAATAATATATATAGATATTACTAAATAAGTTTATATATACATATATACATATATATAAACATAAATATATATATGTATAAAGTTTATATATATATATTTAACCTACTGTTTAATTCTCTATGTAATATTTGCATTTTTACAGCAGTTCTGTAAGATGTATACCGAATTGTATTACATTTCTGTATGAAGTGCATGATATTCTCCATTGTTGATGATTGTTATTTTGACTTCTTAGAACTTATCTGTGAAATTTTTTAAGATTAGGTATTAGTTTTAACGTTATATCGGTTAAAAGGCTCTCAATCTATGCACCATAATTTAAGATTAATTATTCTTTTATTATAACTAGTATATATTATACATACAAAAATTTTTGTTATGTTATTAAAACAAATTTACTCGGTTCGGTATTGTAGTGGCTAAAGGGCCGTTAATACCTATACGCAGCGTTGCCGTAGAAGGTGCCACAGCAGGTCTGTTCTTTTTTCATACTTTGGCTGCACTAGTTCACAGTCTATCTTTTTTTATCTATATTAAAAGGAAAAAGATAGACTGTGAACTAGTGCAGCCAAAGTATGGAAAAAGAACAGACCTAGCGTGACGTCACGCGATAAGAAGGTAAGATACACACCTTGGATGGGGTTTTGACCATGGAGATAAAGGAGGGAGCATTAAGGGATATTATAGGCGTGGGGAGTGAAGCCATGGTGCGGGAGGGGTTTGACCTCTAAACAACCTCCAGCCATATTTATATGGGCCACTAGTGCTGCTATCTATTTGATGAGAGTGATATTATTTCAACACATTGAGAGTAGTATCAGAGAGAAGCCTGAGAGTGGCCAGGCCCATAAGAGTTTTTACGATCGCTATTCCGGCCCGTAAGCTAGCGCATGTCCATGGGTGGTGCACATTGGCAACTACGTAGCGATGTCCACGAGCGACTTGTCGATACGTACGCTATGTCTAAACGTGGACATGGTTCTATTCCGTGCTATGTGCACGATTCCAAGCGTCGAGAAAGATCAAGCAGCCGGCCAGCACCGAAGTGGTAGGGGAACGCACACAAGCGAAACCGCCGTCGTCCGTGTGCGCTCGTGGAAGAGTGCAGACATATTATGT